ACCCGCGGACGGCGTGCAGCAGGCGCAGAGATGGGTAGGCGGTGCGCACGTTGACGCGGTGCTTCAGGATGAGCGCGTTGACCCACTCGACGCGCTCCTTGCCGCCCCTGGCCATGAAGGCGGGGATCCACAGGATGCTGCCGTTGAGGCTGTGCAGCCGCTGCAGCAGCTTCTCCCGCCACGTGGCGTTCACCAGGTCCTCGAAGGCCCTCTGGATGACCGACGGGTTCATGGTCACCAGGTCTGTCTTGAGCCCCACGTCCCGGGCGTACTCCTGCACGGGCGCCAGGTTGCACCTGAGAGAAGAGCGCAGCACGTTTCTGGGGGCCACTGAACTGTGTCCATCCTCCAGCTCTCTTTTTTCCCTCTGAAAACAAGGACTCGGGGCGTCTTTTGGCACCTGCCAGTCCTTCTGCCTATCCCCCTTCTTCTGCAAATACTTACAGCGCACTTAGCCTACACAACAAACTTTGGCGCCAGGGTCCCTGCCCCCACATTGTAAAGCGCCCGCCTTCTGCAGCCTAGGATCTAGTGTGGGGCGGGGGAGACCCCAGGACGGCAGCGCAGCCCACCGCCAGCCCCATGGTGAGTTGCTGGCAGGTGTGCCTGGCCGCACGCCCAGGTTCTGAGGCTGGGTGATACTGGGCGGCCTGCTCAGCCTCTCTGTGCTTCCCGAGAGCTTCCTCATGGAGAAGGAGTACCCACAGCTCAAGCGTCTTGATCTCTGGCGGAGATCAAATAGCACTCCGCCCCACTGCGGAATTAAGAAAGCACTGGCACTTAGTTACCACTGACATGATGGGAAGTGAGAGTACCAGGAGGTCTTCCTGGAGGTGGTGACCATCGCAGGGGGATGAGCAGGAGTCCGTTAGTGGATAAGAGGCCTCAGAGGCGTGTTTCCCCAGCTTACTAGATAAGCAGAATCTGGCCTCAAGCACTTCTTAAAAATACATATTTCTGGTGCCGCATCTGGAGATCCAATTTCTAGGAAGGTGAGCCTAGGAACTGATACTTATTTTTATTTATTTATTTTATAACAGTTTATTTTTACCTCATTTTGTACATTTT